CTAGCCGCAGATTCATGTAGCTGATACTAATTTCCACCATCGCCGTACGGATTAAAACGGTCCCATTCCTCGATGGTCATCAGTTTTTCAGTCTGATGATCTTCGATGTTGTTGTCATCCTCGTCGGCAACAATCCGGCCCCCGTTCCTCGCATCTAAGTCTGGCCTTGACTTACCTCGGAGAGGTTGTGAGGTGGTCTCGTTTTAGTCAACCCTCGATCAACACGCAGGCTTTCCCGCAGCTTTTTATCGCCTCGTAGGCCTCAATTCTCCCAACCGCATTATCCACGGAAAACTGTGCCCTTTTTACGACCGTTTCCGCGGTGAGTCGTTAACTCGATTATTTGGGGAGTCGTTGACTACGTAGCTTCCCAGCGGAGAGATTCCTGCTCTCGGTTTCGGCTTTTTTAGTCTACGCGATCGTTGTGCCCAGTTGACATCTTTGATCCCTGGACATTGGGAACCGAGAGAGAAAAATCGTTTCCAAGGCTCCATTGCTGTTCATGCGCATTGATTTCTTCTTTTCCTTCTCTCACTGCAGACTTTTTCTCGGGCGTTGGGAGAGGGAAGAGAGAGAAAGAGAGTACGACGGAATGGGGCGAGACCGGCATGTATTTCATAAATCAGGGCCCGATCATCTGACACACGTTGACTGGTAATACAATCAGCATGCTGACCCGAAAGTGTCCAGAACTGATTTATGTCTGCTCTGCATGGAGCTCATTTCCGTCTGGCGTACGGATTTTTAAATTTTTTTATTACCGTAGAAATTTGAGAGATTATGAACCTTCGATGCCGGTCAGAGATCTTGTTCTTACAATTCAGGGGAGACGTAGTCCACCGGAGATCAGTTGCAGCCTGCCTGGTCCAGGCCACGTACGTTCTGGAGCACGACCGGAGAAACAATTGCGGGCAACACAATGCTCTGGCACCCGCTTGGTGGCAATTCTTCGGCTTCCAGCTGCTTGAGAAGCTGTCGGACGAAGGAGATTCCTTCTTCGGTGCAGTCTTCAAGCTCGAGCGATCGTCCCTTCCTGCTCCGGCGTACGTCGTCGCCTTCCGAGGCACCATCACCACATGCTTTGAAGACCTGAAGCATAACATTCACCTGTTTCTACACAAGCTCCACAACAGCTGCCGGACCAAGGTCGCAGTGGAGGCCGTCCGAAGCCGGATTGCCCCCGCTGGCAGTGTGAGCGGCGGGGGAGGCGCCGGTGTCTGGCTCGCCGGCCATTCATTGGGATCGTCCGTTGCCATGGCCGTGGGGAAAGCGCTGGCCACGGAGGGTGTCTTCCTGGAATCCTTCCTCTTCAACCCCCCGTATCTCTCGCTCCCCCTCCACACAATCAAGAACCAGAACGTGAAGAACATGCTCGAGATCACGAACATCATCGGCAAATCGGTGATCGTCTTCGTCGCCGAGACCTTCGGGGACAGCTCTGTGGCGGCCTTGTTCGAGATCATCTCCGGATGGGTTCCCTCCCTCTTCGTCAACCCCTCGGACGTCATCTGCGCAGAGTACATCGAGTACTTCAAAGTCCGCGAGCGTATGGCGGAGAATGAATTAGGGTTCGTACGGAGAACTTTCGCCAGGGCTTCCATCTCGGCGACGATCCTAACCATCTGTGGGGAGGAGACCGCGGCGTTGCACCTTCTTCCTTCGGCGGAGTTGCATGTGAGCTCTTGTGCTACGTCCGATCGGATAGCCGACCACTCCATCGAGCAATGGTGGAGATCGGATTTGGTGGTGACATCCAGACGCTATCACTACCACTCTGAATAACATCTTCCTGAGCCTTCTTCTTCACAAGGGTTCAGCGGTGTGTAGCAAGACGGAGGAGCGATATTAGTGAAACACTAGTACCCACTTGATGCTGGTAATATTAATTTCCGCTATCCAGTGAGATGATCTTGGGCCTGATAGTTACGCCAGAAAAAAGAGTTTTATTTTCCTTTTTCTCGAGAAAAGAAGTCAACGCATAATTCCTTGACAGCACTCCACCGACAGGTGGAAGATTCTCTGCCCGAAGGAATCTAGATCCTCGTCATCTCGCTGCTGCGAGGAGCTCTCATGCCTTGCTCTTCAGCTTCCTGGTAGTTGTATGATCTCCTCTCTCCACGAAACTGTTTTTGCTACAATGCATGTGTGGAATTAAACATTTGGTGAGGGGATGGCGAGAATTTGGGATCCCGATCTACCGTCCGGTCCCAGTTTGATGAACGTGCGACATTAGATTCAAAGGTTGAGTCTGATTCCTCGTTCCCTCGTTTTCTATTTGCCTCGAATGGGAGGTTTAGTCTTGGTCGGGAATCTAGGGTTTATCTTGTTCTCTGGGAGTCCCGGGAGCATACCACGGCGTATTAGTGTTTGCTTTACTCGCAGGCATCCACCGTCCGACCACGTCTTACGATTCGCCCGACTACCTTTTTCCGTTAGGTGCGTGTGCCTTGCCTTGCCGTCGCGAGCACTTTCCATCTACTTTGACTTGGATGCGGATTCCTGTTCAAGCGAGCGCCTGGTTCGATTTGTTGGCTCTGAGAAGCTGACTCTTAATTTTTCTCCAAATGTGCTCCAAAATTTTAAACAGTGATCTTCAACGTATTTTATGATACATTTCTCAAGGGGAAGAGAGGAATCGAAAGACTGGTTCTTCGGAAACTCTCCCCAGCGTCATCATTCCGATTTTTTTGGACTTTTAGCATGTTATACATACAATCAGAGCAGAAGCTTGGGAGGATTGATGGAAAAGTCCATTATTGAAGTTAAAGATTGATTATTTGTGGTTCGTAATGTATTATTCTGATAGTTCAGTTAATCCAACAAGATTATTTGCGATGCGCATGGAATTTCCGCACCCAATCTGGGCCATTGACAACCCTGCAATCAATTAATTTTCATACATTTTTAAAAATTCTGCAAAATTTACTGTAAAGAGTTAACTACTAGAAATGGACGAAAGGGAATTTGGAAAAAAACCCTTGGAGCAATAATTGCTGAATTGACAATTTTTATTTATTCCGGACGTGCGTTTTCTCCTTTGCAGGCCAGACAGCTGACATCGCTGCTGGATGAGGACCCAGCGATCATGGAGTGTAGGACGGTCCTTGTCAAGAGGCTCGAGCTGTACAGAAGCACCTAGGCGGAGATAGATGCGGTCGCGTGGTCTAATTAGGACAACTTTCTCTTCTTCTTCCTATTTCTTGTTCAGAATATTTCTCCTTTCTTTTATTTCGTCCCGCCATCGATTAAATGACGATTATATATCCAATATAATCAGCATATGAAAAATGTATTTTGCGTCTTTTAGATGTAATTCGGATTTGATTTCGTCGGATAACTGGTCCGGAGGCCGGTTGGTTTGGGTCTGAAAATTGGTCACTTGTTCTCCCTCTCTCTCTCTCTCTCCCTCTCCCTCTCGCGTCATGCGGTCTGACGACCGAATCAAGACGCAGTAGTCTGCGCGTGTATACGCCAGCTGTATCATTGTCGGTAGGTCGAATATCCCCAGTGCGAATGGCAAAGTTGGGTCCCCCACGTCTCTCTCCCTCACTTCCAGACATTGACTTATCGCTTGACTGACCTTTGTTTTCAACGGGACACGTGAAATTTCTTGCATTAAATAACGTCAGCCCACGTAGCACCTTGGTCGTAGCTCAATTAGGGCAGGTAGTGAAGAAGCTATTTATGTGCCCTAGTCGAGTTGCACTTGTGTGAAGCTCTTTTCCTTCTGCCGGGTGTAGCGGGGGTTGCTCGAAACCTCCGTGTAATGAGTGAGGATGTGGTTGATGCCATCAAATAACCGTGTTCGAGATAATTAGTTCGATTTTTTTCCGCTCAATAATCGTCATATTTATACCGTATTCAATCGAAGAGGGTTATCTCGTCCCGTTTCTAAGATGGAGCCATGTGAGGTCGTCGCTTCCCAAAGGATGGCTCTACGGAGACATCAAAATCTGACAAACAGAGGATAGAGGAAACGGTAGCCCCTTTCTGCAAATGGTTGCCACCATCCACTTGTAATCGTCTGTCTGACTTGGAAAGTCAGTCAACGCCTATCTCTTCCCTTCCGAACTCCAAGTAGCTGCGATTTCCCGATTATATATGTACCCGCCGAGCAGCTGATCCTCGTCGTACGGTTCGTATTCTCCTCGGGTGGCTAGTTCAAGGTATGCATTATTCTCTCCTCTTTGCGGCGTCCGACATTCATTCTCTTCTCCTTCTCTTCTTCGGTCAATCCGAGACTCCCCCGTCTGTGAGTTTTAGTTCCATTCTTCAGCTTCTGATGGACCAAATCTTGTTTACTTTAATGAACACAATCTGTTTTTGCTTCTTCTGCTTCACCTCGTTGAAACATCTGGTGGGCACGCGAGTTTCGGGAGAATTTCTTCCTCTTATTTCTCATTCGGGAAGCAATTCTGGGTTCTTTAATCTCGTCGAAGCAGATTCATCTAGCTGATCTTACTTTCCACCACCGTCTTAGGGGGGGGGGGTGGGCTGTCTGATGGATGATCTTCGATGTTGTTGTCATCCTCGTCGGCAACAATCCGGCCCCCGTTCCTCGCATCTAAGTCTGGCCTTGACTTACCTCGGAGAGGTTGTGAGGTGGTCTCGTTTTAGTCAACCCTCGATCAACACGCAGGCTTTCCCGCAGCTTTTTATCGCCTCGTAGGCCTCAATTCTCCCAACCGCATTATCCACGGAAAACTGTGCCCTTTTTACGACCGTTTCCGCGGTGAGTCGTTAACTCGATTATTTGGGGAGTCGTTGACTACGTAGCTTCCCAGCGGAGAGATTCCTGCTCTCGGTTTCGGCTTTTTTAGTCTACGCGATCGTTGTGCCCAGTTGACATCTTTGATCCCTGGACATTCGGAACCAAGAGAGAAAAATCGTTTCCAAGGCTCCATTGCTGTTCATGCGCATTGTTCTTCTTTTCCTTCTCTCACTGCAGACTTTTTCTCGGGCGTTGGGAGAGGGAAGAGAGAGAGAGAGAGTACGACGGAATGGGGCGAGACCGGCATGTATTTCATAAATCAGGGCCCGATCATCTGACACACGTTGACTGGTAATACAATCAGCATGCTGACCCGAAAGTGTCCAGAACTGATTTATGTCTGCTCTGCATGGAGCTCATTTCCGTCTGGCGTACGGATTTTTAAATTTTTTTATTACCGTAGAAATTTGAGAGATTATGAACCTTCGATGCCGGTCAGAGATCTTGTTCTTACAATTCAGGGGAGACGCAGTCCACCGGAGATCAGTTGCAGCCTGCCTGGTCCAGGCCACGTACGTTCTGGAGCACGACCGGAGAAACAATTGCGGGCAACACAATGCTCTGGCACCCGCTTGGTGGCAATTCTTCGGCTTCCAGCTGCTTGAGAAGCTGTCGGACGGAGGAGATTCCTTCTTCGGTGCAGTCTTCAAGCTCGAGCGATCGTCCCTTCCTGCTCCGGCGTACGTCGTCGCCTTCCGAGGCACCATCACCACATGCTTTGAAGACCTGAAGCATAACATTCACCTGTTTCTACACAAGCTCCACAACAGCTGCCGGACCAAGGTCGCAGTGGAGGCCGTCCGAAGCCGGATTGCCCCCGCTGGCAGTGTGAGCGGCGGGGGAGGCGCCGGTGTCTGGCTCGCCGGCCATTCATTGGGATCGTCCGTTGCCATGGCCGTGGGGAAAGCGCTGGCCACGGAGGGTGTCTTCCTGGAATCCTTCCTCTTCAACCCCCCGTATCTCTCGCTCCCCCTCCACATAATCAAGAACCAGAACGTGAAGAACATGCTCGAGATCACGAACATCATCGGCAAATCGGTGATCGTCTTCGTCGCCGAGACCTTCGGGGACAGCTCTGTGGCGGCCTTGTTCGAGATCATCTCCGGATGGGTTCCCTCCCTCTTCGTCAACCCCTCGGACGTCATCTGCGCAGAGTACATCGAGTACTTCAAAGTCCGCGAGCGTATGGCGGAGAATGAATTAGGGTTCGTACGGAGAACTTTCGCCAGGGCTTCCATCTCGGCGACGATCCTAACCATCTGTGGGGAGGAGACCGCGGCGTTGCACCTTCTTCCTTCGGCGGAGTTGCATGTGAGCTCTTGTGCTACGTCCGATCGGATAGCCGACCACTCCATTGAGCAATGGTGGAGATCGGATTTGGTGGTGACATCCAAACGCTATCACTACCACTCTGAATAACATCTTCCTGAGCCTTCTTCTTCACAAGGGTTCAGCGGTGTGTAGCAAGACGGAGGAGCGATATTAGTGAAACACTAGTACCCACTTGATTCTGGTAATATTAATTTCCGCTACTCAAGTGAGATGATCTTGGGCCTGATAGTTACGCCAGAAAAAAGAGTTTTATTTTCCTTTTTCTCGAGAAAAGAAGTCAACGCATGATTCCTTGACAGCACTCCACCGACGTGGTGGATTTTCCGTGGGAAGTGATCCGTACGATCTCGTGGTACGTGTGAACATATGAGAGGAACACGTCAGTAATTCGTTTTTATATTAGTTTTTGTTTTTTTTTCCTGGTTTTGTTTTGTTAAATTGTGGTAATGGCTCCGCCTTCCCCACCCGTTCTCGTCGCCACTCTCCCGTCCCCTTCCCCCTTGCGGCCGGGAGGGGGAGCCATTTCCGGGGAGTGCGGAAGGTGGAAGATTCTCTGCCCGAAGGAATCTAGATCCTCGTCATCTCGCTGCTGCGAGGAGCTCTCATGCCTTGCTCTTCAGCTTCCTGGTAGTTGTATGATCTCCTCTCTCCACGAAACTGTTTTTGCTACAATGCATGTGTGGAATTAAACATTTGGTGAGGGGATGGCGAGAATTTGGGATCCCGATCTACCGTCCGGTCCCAGTTTGATGAACGTGCGACATTAGATTCAAAGGTTGAGTCTGATTCCTCGTTCCCTCGTTTTCTATTTGCCTCGAATGGGAGGTTTAGTCTTGGTCGGGAATCCAGGGTTTATCTTGTTCGCTGGGAGTCCCGGGAGCATACCACAGCGTATTATTAGTGTTTGCTTTACTCGCAGGCATCCACCGTCCGACCACGTCGTACGATTCGCCCGACTACTTTTTTCCTTTGGGTGCGTGTGATTTGCCTTGCCGTCGCGAGCACTTTCCACCTACTTTGACTTGGATGAGGATGCGTGGATGTGCCATTTTATTCTTCTTCGCAAAGAATATTGGAGGATCTCCTTTCCTGTTCAAGCGAGCATCTGGCTCGATTTGTTGGATCTGAAAAGCTGACTCTTAATTTTTCTCCAAATGTGCTCCAAAATTTTAAACAGTGATCTTCAACATATTTTATGATGCTTTTCTCAAGGGGAAGTGAGGAATCGAAAGACTGGTTCTTCGGAAACTCTCCCCAGTGTCATCATTCCGATTTTTTTGGACTTTTAGCATGTTATATATACAATCAGAGCAGAAGGTTGGGAGGATCGATGGAAAAGTTCTTTATTGAAGTTAAAGATTGATTATTTGTGGTTCGTGATGTATTATTCTGACAGTTCAGTTAATCCAACAAGATTGTTTAAGCTTCCGAACCTTCAAGATTAATGGATGCACTATGAGCTTAAATACTCAAATGACCAGGAATCTCAGAATCGTCCATTGCACTGACAGCTATCAAGAAATATATCTAAACACGTAAACTTTATTCTATTGTATCTCCTGTTTAAAGCCATTCATATTCATGTATCAGGAGACTCTTCACTGCAGGGATCATCGTAGAGATCAGAAAGTGGGCTAGTGAGAGGCTACAGTATCATGGCCTCTGAGAGGAGTGTCTTTCAGATCTCAGGCCCCACGCATTTGACTCAAGTTGACTGGTACTTATCATTTTCGACGTTTACTCTCATATTGTTAAAGACAATAAGGTATCTTTTGTTTTCTTTAGAAGGCATAAATTTTCGTTTTGCTCTTGATCTAAATAGAAACAGAATTCTTATTACTGAATCCCTCCTCCCCCTCGTTGTGGAGGGATTATCAATGAAAGTGCATGTGGCTCGCTCCAATTGAAAGTAGTACGGTCATGTCTACACTGTTTTAGCATTCCACCGGTGTGAGCACCTGTTAATCAGTGTGGAAACGCAGATGCGTTTGGTCAACGGCTCCGATCCGAAACATGCACCTGAAAAAGTTGGCAAAGTGGCAGAACGTAAAGTCAGTATCCGTAGGCCAAGCATTATGATCCAAATGCATTTCAGTTGGATGCTCCAACACTAATGCTCATTATTCGCACAACTTTTTCTTCAATTATCTTCCAGCATCTGGAGAGGTTTTTCTTTCTCATGTTTTGACTCTGAACTTTAGATTGAGGATTTGGTGCATGATGGTCCAGAAATTACTGAAGCAGCATGAAATTTTCATCCAGAAATTCTCTTCTGGAACATCATTTTTGTAGTGATGATATAAAAATTTACGCAATCTATGGCTACATGAATCATTTTTAGCCTTTCCTTGTCGAAATACATCATCTTGTTCAAGGATTTCATGTCTTAAATTCAAATTTTGTGGATAACGAAAGCAAGTCGCATCCTCCTTGGTATTATGAAATCTTAGCATGTAGAAGAACATGCATAGGTTGATCTCTCACCTATCCATTTTCTGTTTTCACATAAACACTGCTGCTCTTGTGTTCTCAGATCTATGCTGGCCTCGAGGGTCATAAAACTTATACACCTTGCATGGGATGCAGTATCTATGACTTGGTTTGGATTTGATGATTTATTTTGCGCTTCAGAGAGCTTTCATTCCTCTGATAAATGAACAGCAACAGTTAAAATAGGGGGGGGTGGGGGGTGGATAGCTTGGCCATAACAGCAAAGTGATTTTTTCATGTCAAACAGGGGATGCGCACATCATCGGAGATCAGTTGCAGCCAGTCTAGTCCAGGGTGTATATGTTCTCGAGAATGACCGCCAGCAGAATCGCCCAGAACACGAAGCTCTGGCACCGGCTTGGTGGGAATTCTTCCACTTCCAGTTATTCCGTAAACTTGTGGATGACGCCGATTTATCCATTTTTGGTGCTGTTTATGAGTTCAAGCACCCGTCTTCCGTCCAGAATCCCTCAATCTCTAGTGCCCCAAGATATGTCCTGGCCTTTCGGGGCACCATGACCAGGCCAGATTCCTTTGCCAGAGACCTTGAACTCGATATCCACTTCATTCAACATGGCCTCCATACCACTTCCCGGTTCGAGATTGCCATGCAGGCCGTCCGAAACCTGGCGTCTGCCACCGGAAGTTCCAAGATCTGGCTGGCAGGGCATTCTCTGGGATCAGCTCTGGCGACACTCGCGGGGAAAAACATGGCCAAGGCAGGCATACTCATTGAATCGTTCTTCTTCAATCCGCCATTTGTCTCTGCTCCCATCGAGAAAATCAACGATAAGAAGCTGAAGCAGGGGCTCCGGATTGCCGGCAGCTTCATCACTGCGGGGCTTGCCCTGGCTATGAAGGACCGTGGAGGGAGGTCTGCAGAAACATTCACAGCTCTGTCCGTATGGGTGCCTAAGCTCTTTGTGAACCCATCTGACTACATCTGTTCTGAGTACGTCGGGTATTTTCAACACCGGGAGAAGATGGAGAAGATGGGGATTGGGCATGTCGAGAGGATCGCCACCCAGCATTCGATCGGTGGCCTAATCCTTGGTGCCTTTGGGAAGGAGTGCGACCCAATACACCTGCTTCCATCCGCAGATTTGACTGTCAATTTGAGCCCTTCACCGGATTTGAGGACCGCCCACGGGATTCACCAGTGGTGGAGGCCAGACCTGAATCTGCGCCGCACCCACCATCTCTACAGGGAGCAGGACCGTTTACTCGGATGAGAAGGAGCTTCTTCTTGTCTTCTCAGTTGCATCCGAAGGATGCCATCAGCTGGGGGCAAATGTGACCATCTGGGCCTCCGTTCAAGTGTATCAAACTCCACTCTGCTTGCTTCATGCCCTTGACTTGGAAAACATGAAACATATTTATTCACATGAATATTCAATCAGGCAATTGAGCGTGTCCTTGTTGAAGTAGCTCTTCAAAACCACCCTCTGCAGGCTGATGATCTACACACTTTCGGAGATCGACGTCAGTAGAGAATATTTGATCCGAAGGGATATACACCCATCATCCACACAGAGTTTGGCTCCCGTGACGATCCAGTATCCTGGAGGCTCCTCTGGGCCCCTGACCATCTCTGTGGTGTCAATGACGCCGAACAGCCGTGGAGCCTGAGCTGGCACCGGGGGCCCGCCTGGGAATATGGCGGAGTTGAGCTCTGGCCCTGGGGTTGGGGTCAGAGACTGGGCAGTGCTTGACCTCCCACTGATTTGATCTGGAACATAGCTGGATTTTCTGACGGCACTAGCTGGCCCTCCCCACTGAGAGTTTCTGATCTTCGCTGAGGCCAATGCAGAGAACCCGAGCCGAAGAAAGAGGACCTTATTGCGGCCAATGTCCCTCACCTCCAACCAGGCCTTGGTCACCATGTGTGCGAGCTCGTCGATGTGGATTCGGCTGTGCTGGACCGGAGCGGTGCACACATGCGACAGCGGTGCCCACCTGATGGGCACATGGTGGTCACTTGACTGTAGGGCATCGTCGTCGTGGAAGCTGTCGCCGGAGAGCTGGAGGAAGCTGGGGAGCCCGGTGAGGTGCTGCAGATGAATCGCCAAGCAGTCGTTCTTCTTACCCTCCAGATTTAGCCGCATCCCTGTCACCGGGCAGTTCCCGGATTCAACCTGCATGTAGAAGAGTCCTAATCTCTGAAGATTCTGGGTGATGAATATAAGATACTTACTTCAATCCACATTATTTCCAAAGGTTAAGAGATCTAGGTGGGTTCTTGCAGTAGATGATCACCAATCTTCGACCAGTTGAACCTAAGTGGTCTATCTAAGGTGAGGGTAACTGGAACCGAAGTCTGTGAATGAGAATATTACCGGGATCGTGTTAACAGAAATCTTGGGCCCCATCCATCCAAGCTTTAGTGAGGGGAAGCCGTCTCTTTTCCACTGAATCCTAAGTGGTAGTTCATTGAATGCGGGAGCCCATTTCCTAGGCAACTGGAACTCCAAAAAATGTTTAAGTTCCTTGATTGGTGGCTTATCTGGGAAGAGAAAAAAATTCACAACCAGTAACATCAACACATCCGGCCAAAAAAATTAAAGAACTGGCATAGAAATCTCTGCTTGGATGAGATTAAACGAGCACTATCTTCAACAGGGAGAGCCCCCGTCATTCAAAGCTGCCCCTCCAAAAATCTAGGTCAGAGGCAAAGATACGGCGATAATTCTGTATGCATCAATGATGATGGGTTTTTTAAATCCCTTTGGTTTATGCAAAGTATCTCCAAAACCAGATTCCAGCTCAACTTTTCTCTTTGAAAGTTACAGAGCCATGCATTTATTGAATTTCGGAAACAAAAGCAGTCACCCCAAAATTCATGTTGGAAATGTAGACAGTCTCTGCAAAAAAAGCTGAATCGAGTGGCAGGTGGGCAGGTTTTGTTAATAATCGACGCCTAAAATTGGCTTTACACGATGTTGTTTAGAACAGTAATTTATCCAAGGAGATAGGCCCATGGAAGCATCAAGGAAGGCCGTCATCAGGAGGAATGGAAATACGTACAGCGAAGATATGAATTTATAGCATGGCTGAGGAAACCACTGCCGCTGACACCATTTAGGAGAGAAGTTATAGGCACCAAGGACATTGAAACCACATTAGGAGCCTCAGAGACCGTAGATAGCCAGTCGTTATGACTCTGATTAGTGTCAAGACCTCCCCTTATGACGTGTATACGTACAATATTCTGCAGAAGGGGAAGATGGAGGATAGCTAATCTGTTGGAAACGACCCATGCTGGGATTAGACTAAAATAATATGGCCGTTGATCATTGAATACTCACATTCTTCAACATGACGGGTAGCTTGATGGCCTTCGTGACTGGATTGCATTCCTGCATCTCTTCTTTCATGGTCTATAAGATGAAAAGGACGAGTTCAAGTCATTTCCCAGTTGAGCACAAAATTCTGCATATTCGCAATTAATTTTAATTATTCTCGATAGAGATCACAAGGATGTCCTAATTATTCTAGATAGAGATCACATTAAGGTCCTTGGCGCATAAGCTGGCAGTGCTCAAGCTAACGCTATGCCTGGATGCCAATTTCTCGACCAATGAATTGACTGTACGTGTGCAAAGGTGATGGGGATTTGGGTATATATTCAAGCAATCATTTAGGAAAATAATTATAGATGTATAACGATTGGATAAAATCAAACGGATCTAGTGGTCGGGTTTCCTTTGTCATAGTAACAAAAGCTCATAGGCAAGAAAATCATCAATTAACATCTCAAAATGGAAGAAAAATTGGCAGAAAAGGAAGCAAGAGAAGAACGCATATTTTATGAGCGAAGATGGAAAGCTAGATTTGAGATCAATAATTTCCAAGTAATAGAAGAAAAAATCCATTTTTTTGTCTACCCATATTACTAACAAAGTGGAAATGTATTCATGAGCACGCAGAATATGTCACTGAAATCATGGTCACAAATATGGGTTTCTGGTAGTTCCGAGAGCCATAGAAATCCAGGCAATGTAATCTACCGACTTCACTAACTTTTGATAGCCATGCAGTAGAGAAGTCAAATGAAACCACGAGATTAGGCGCCACCTTTTTTGATCAGGTGACCAGAGCACCCTCTTGCCCTTTTTCAGAGGAGCATAGGTTCTGAAAGAGAGATTGAACGGGAAAACCTTCCCAAGAGATGGGATTAAGCCTCAGAATAGCTAACTGGTGAGGCCCACATCATCCATAATACTCTTTCATGATGGCAGTCGCTCTGAGAAACCATCACCTTCATAAGCTCGTCGCGCTTATCCGTGGATGACCCTTTATGGGCACCCTCTGAGAATCTTTCATCGGCCAAGGCCTTCAGCAAGTTCTGAACTTCATGGGGAAGAAGAGCTGATCCGTACTGCTGCTTGATATGGATCACATCCGATCCGCCCATCTGGACTCCAACGATTACATGTGTGCCATAGTTCTCAATAAACCTGAGAGCGGATTAAATTGGCAGAAAGTGAAAAAAAAATCATCAACTTCAGCTGAAAATTTGCAGGCAAACAGAGGCTCTCAATGGCAATCTTTGTGTGTGGGGTGTGGGGGGGGGGGGGGAACTTGCCCTGCCAACGCAGCGGGATCCCATGAGGGAGGCACATCTTGCTTTACATGGTCCAGCAGCTCAAGATGGTGCCTTTCCAGCACAACGCTGTAAAGTGCTATAACCCAGCCATCAAAGGAGAGGCTCATCGTTGCCGCTGCATCCTTCAGCCAGCATCCCCGGAAATCAAACGCCGCATTGAACATACCGGAAGGAATTTTGCCGGCTAAGGAAAGGCCCCGGTTGAACTGCTCCGCCATCTGCTGGCAAGCGAAGCGATCAGAGGGGTGTAGGCCGAAAAGAATTGGAGGTAGAAGACGATAAGTCAGATGAGCGATTGCGAAATGGAGTCATGGAGAAAGGCACCTGGTGGAACGGGAGGACGTCGGAACGGAAGCGAGCTCGCTCTCCCTTGTCGCACCTGACGGAGCTCGGAACTCCCCGAACGACCACCCCGCCGGGAAGGACGAGGTCCCCGGTGCCATCGTCGCCGAGCTGAACCAGACGCGCGCCGGCGGGGCCGCGCTTGTAACGGGACAGATGGATGTCGTCGGCGAGGTCGAAGCCGCAGCCGAGGGTCGAGATCGACTGCTCCGCTGCCTCCTGCGGCGTCATACAGCGCTGATTCCGCGGCCGCATGGCGTCTCCGCTCTCCCTTCACTCCCTTGGACCGATGAGGAGAAGGAAGTCACTCGCCATCCACAAACGAACACGTCTTTCGTGGAGAAGACAGCAGATCGAAGCCGTTGACTTGGCTCCAAGCAATCGGAGGGATAAATCGCGGTGAATGGTACCGATGGGCGCCGCGGCACCGCCGGTGTGGATGATCTTTTCCGGGAAGCCTTGTAGGCTCCACCCACCTACTCTCGATCGAGGCAGCTTGGCAACGGCCCGAAAAAACAAACCTCACACTTGCCAGAGGACTCCAAGCACTGGCCCTCTTCCAGTTATGTGCAGGTATGGAGCACAGACAAGGTCCACAGTCCAGGACAGCGACGTCGAAGGCGGGACCTCTTCTTCTTCTTCTTCTAGGGCGCGTTTTTCCGGAGTACCTCACAGGTGGCCCCGTCTAGGATCTTCACTGCTACCCAACTTCGTGGTGGATAAGGAGGTGCCGCAGCCCCATGATTCCGACGTCCCCGTGCATGGAACTGAACGAGACGCAATCGAAGATGCAGTTGTCCTTCGTTTTCATGCAGGCTTGACCACGGGGGAGTCACAGAGAGAGAGAGAGAGAGAGAGGGAGGGAGGGAGGGAGGGAGGAGAGAGAGAGAGAGAGAGAGAGAGAGAGAGAGAGAGAGAGAGAGAGAGAGAGAGAGAGAGAGAGAGAGAGAGAGAGAGAGAGAGAGAGAGAGAGAGAGAGAGAGAGAGAGAGAGAGAGAGAGAGAGAGAGAGAGAGAGAGAGAGAGAGAGAGAGAGAGAGAGAGAGAGAGAGAGAGAGAGAGAGAGAGAGAGAGAGAGAGAGAGAGAGAGAGAGAGAGAGAGAGAGAGAGAGAGAGAGAGAGAGAGAGAGAGAGAGAGAGAGAGAGAGAGAGAGAGAGAGAGAGAGAGAGAGAGAGAGAGAGAGAGAGAGAGAGAGAGAGAGAGAGAGAGAGCAATCTATTTCAGAACGAGATCAACGTAATCAGCTGAACACTTCCTCAAGAAGACTCAACTTGCTTCCTCTCAGCTACCACAGACACTAAAAGGCCAGAAAGACGGAGACAACAGAGAACAGACATGAACGAATCGACGACTGATCTAATTCAACGGCGCCATCACTCAGAATCGGAACCAGTTTCCCCGAAGTCGCCGATCATTTCCCCCTCCGAATCGAAATCCGCCATCTCGTCGTCGTCCAAATCCTCGTCGCGCAGATCCTCGTCGAGCGAATCCTCTTCCTCGCTCTCCACGGGGACGCGCCGCCCTTGGGCGTACCCGCGTGAAGCATCCACGGGGAAGAAGAGAGGGCCGCTCCGGCGGAAGAGAGGATCGGAGGAGCGACGGGCGACGGTGAGGCCAGTGGAGATCCCACGGCCGACGATTCCCGGCCGAGACGCCGCCGCCAGCCGCCGCAGCGCCGCCGACGCCACCGCCACTGCCCGCGACATCCCCCGCAGCAGGCGCAGAAACCAGACAGGGCCCAAAGCGAAACAGAACAACTCCGAACAGAGAGGGGCAGGGTTCAAAGCTAGGGTTTCTATATAAAATGAGGCATCAGAGGAGCAAACAAGCTAACCAGCTCCCCCATATAAAACGAAAAAGCGACAGACGGCCGTGATCGCGGATCCGGATAACTGGAAAGCTCAACGAGAACACCAGAAACAGGAGGATTCTCTCTTCCGGGTGTCTGTGTACTATACTAGAAGATCATTACCATCAATCAACAAGCATCGAACAAGCCCACGCAACAGTCACACGCATAGGGGAGAAAGGAAGCAAGGCCCACACAGACGATCTCGTCCAGGGAGAGACCATTACCGAGCTTCCTTCAATACGACCAGAGAGAAAGATTACTCGCCAGATTGCTGCTTCACCAGGTCGATGGCACCACCACCGCCGCCGCCGCCGTCGAGCCAAGTGCTGCAATCTGCGCTGACTTCGGCGAAAGCCGACACGAGCTTCGGGAAGAGCTTCGTCAACATGATCTTGAAGCCCGTGGAGCTGCTCCCCGCCGCCTCCGGCGGCGCCGCCACCTGAGCCGCCCCGTCCATGTACGCCTTGCAAGCCAGGAGGATCTGCTGCGACCGGCGAGCGAAATGCTCCACGACGAACGTCTCGAAGCTCTGCAGGATTTAGGAAATTAACCGTTGAATCTGGTGGTTGACGGAAGCGTTGGGGACGTTGACTTCTACCGGTGAAGGGCTTTTACCTTTGGGGGATTCTTCAGAAGGAAGAGCATGGACTTGCAGGAGAGAAGGAATGCATTCTCGTTGTAAGTGACGGCATTCCTTTCCCCGTCGGCTTTGCCGACCTGTCTGTCGTAGCCGGCTTCGTTGAAGTAGGGCTTATCATTCAGGACGAGGGCTTGGAGGGACAACAGGACTTGGAGGATGGTGGATCCCTCCGGGTTCCACACCTCGCTTTCGGTCCCCGTCCAGGTCTTCAGGAGGCTGAGGCAGACTTTTCCGGACTCGTAGAGGTTGGGGTTCAGCCGGAGCCCGCCCGAATGGTAGTGCACCAGCTGCACGGCATTTTTCATCATGCGTTTTGGAGTGAGATGGTCTTAGAGATGGTCTTACGGTTTCACAACGAGCAGTGCTGTGCTATAAATGAAAGGACGACGACCACGAGAAGAGAAAAAAAGTTCAAATGGATCTTCTGATCTGATCCTGTTTGATGGAAAGCTGAGGGTTCTTGGCGGCGAGTGAATTATCTGAAAAAACGACGACGGAACCCGAGGTAACAGCAACGTTTCTCATCTTCAAGAAGAAAATTTTCAGATAATATGACCCTCCGTGGCGTAAAATAATTGGAACTGCAGTAAGATTTATCTTAGTTCCACAGCAGCCGTTTCTTGGATCCTGAGGCTTGTCATTTGCATAGGATTTATATCAAACAATTCACGATTTTACACATACCCAGGATTTTGCTCGTAATATTACACATCAGAGAAAAATAAAATTACTACATAAAAATATATTATATGATTCGGCGCATGCATCTCCATCCTACAATGCCAGAGACCATATACGATTGATTATCCACTTGGGCTTTTTGTTTCAGGTGATGGCTTCAACCGGTCACAAGCTAGTGTGTCTGAAAAGGATGAGAAGCGAAGATTTGAAGCAACTTACAGGTGGTTCATGGGGATAATCCGGAGGAAAGCATATGTCAAAGAAGAAGAGACCGTCATGGTAAGGAGTTCCAGATGTGCCAATAATCGCAGCTCTCATCAGATCCATCCTTTCCTCGTAAACTCTGACATAAATTGTTTCTGTTCAATTCAGAAGAGCAGAAGGATGTCAGAGGCGAACGACAGGAAAGTCAACGTTCCCATCATTACTGTAGCTCGAGGTGACGTGCAAACAGCTGAACCCCTGAAAGACTTCACCTTCTTTTCAGCAAAAAAACGTTTGTTTGAGGTCTAAGTAGCTTTTGATTGCGGCCGTAAGGCCAAATTTTTGGCCAACGAGAAAAGGGTTTAAAAAGTGCATCATGCATTACTTATTTACAAGAAATCAGGAAAATAGAGTATAAAAATTTAATTGAATGAGAAAAATCTGCCGACGAAATGGATTTTGGAATTTATTCGCATGAAAAGTTTGTGGGCGGCGAGTCATTTCTCAACAGAAATGTCAAATCCACGAATTAATGTCATTGCAATTCGGGAAAATAGTTCTTCCATATGAGGTTAAGTCCTCAGTTCAGATTCAATGAATAGAAACATATTAATAAGAATCAACCTGGTAAATTCTTCTCCAGAATGTTCCATTCCTGCTGTATTTTCTTCAACCAGCTGCTCCTCACCTGTGGACAGGACATCATCAGGAAGTTTTACGCATGGACATATTTCATTCGAATTCAAGAACAAATCGAGCCCCTCACCTGCGAACTAACCCCATCAATGAAATGATGATCTGAATAGTCATTCGCAAAGCCAAACTGCTCAAACCAGTCAGCCTTTGCACTGCTTGCAGACTCTACCAAAGTACCATGAACTCCAGCTGATACTTGGTTCTCCAAGCTTGTTTGCTGCAGTATCTCATCATGCTGTGTCACATCCTCTGGATGAATCAGCCGATATTCAGGCTTCTCATTGATCTGTGATGCGGACGTTTCCAAACTGAGTTTCCAACTTTCATCCCTGTCATTGATACGGCCAGGCATTTTGGTGCTGGAGAGTGACAAGGAACCATGGTAACCAACCAGCACTGTAGCAACATTAGACAGGAATCCAATAGCAGCTCGAGGCAGAAAGTCAAACTGAACATCCCATAATTTTTTCCTGGAATCTTCAAGGGAGCCATAAACACAGTTTCCAGGGAGATCCTGCACAGAGTCACAGGTTTTTTATCCTATGCATCGCCTACATTTCGAAAAAGTGAAGGAAATCATAACAAGATTTAGCATCCAGAAATATAGGAACGTTACCCTTTCTTTCCCGTTCCATGGTTGTCTGTCTTGCTCATTTTCATCTGTAACTTCACTGCTATTCTCTGGAGTTGAAGAAGCTGTCGCAAGCTTATCTAATCCATAAACTTCTGAGGGCTTGGCCTGAATCAAGAGGAAATTCAGGAATAAAACATCATGTGGAGAGGGGAAAGAGATAACTTCTTCATGAGTATATACGTGCCAATGCAAAGAAAAAAGCCCTAAACGGAACCAAAAATCAACCAAGTCCATGTTTTAAAGTGTAGGGAGAAGCAATCAAAAGAAAAGAAAAGAAAAGAAGAGTCCTCTTCATTGTATGTATATGTGCAGAAAGGAAGATCTAAATGTCAAGAACACCGTTCATGATCAACACTGTTCCAATGAAAAATATCAATCCTATTGCGTCCTTTGTCTTTTCTTTCATATTCTATTAAATGCATAAAAAGAATAATTGAAGAACCAGAATCATAAGAAAGTTTACACTATCTCCATCTGTTTACATCCCTAGTTCAATGATCTGCAGAAGCATAAAATAGCTGTCATGAAAAACTATAATTCGGCATGAATACCTTGGATTGGATCCCACTAGCCCATCTCACTTCAATATCTCCATCTTTGAATCCAACAACATTGCCTATGCATGATAAATACCGTGAAGAGTAATCACCATGGAAATTAACCATCGGCTTACTATAAGATGGAGAAACTTCATGCATTTTAGTCTGCCTATCAGGTTGAGTGGCATGAAAATTTTCTTCCAGGTGATCATACCGAAGCAAGTGTCTGAATACGATGTCACCAAGACGATAGTTGTAATCTGGATGCTCAACCAGCTCATAAGCACTCACAGTTTCCTCGACAAAGTCACTATTTAAACCATCCGAATTGTCAAGGTCAGGAATCCATCTGACCTTCACTGTACGTTCCTTAGCATCTACATATTTCACAACTCCCAGACGCTGATTACTTGAAACCCGACCATCCTCAGATATGGCCTTCTCTAGGACAATCTGTTCTGGCCAAAAGTCTTGATCACCCACGTTGTTTACTGGGAACAAGGTCCCTGGGTCTACACCCTCCGAATGGCTACCATCCTGCCATGATATATCTAACTTAGTCCTGGTCTTGGCAATAACATATGCGTGATCACAGGCAATATCTTTCATTCCAACTTTCTGCATTTTTCTAGAACACCGAGGGTTGAAACCTTGGGAGATATGTTCCTGCATACCTGTCTGAAGATTTTGGAAAAAATCGTGTGGTAATTTGCACCAATCCCCAGGTTGCCAAGTTGTATGACTATAGCACGACAATAACGTCAGATCCTTTGGGTCTTGAACAGGGGGAGGAGCAGAAGTAAGATTGCAAGCAGCCACGACAGAAGCAAGCCAATTCACGTGTATTAATCCTACTTCTGTCTTGCAGACTGTTCCCTCATCTTGGCTCCCATTCCATGCGTCACACAACCATCTTGCAGAGTCAAAAAGAGTAGATCGTCTCATCTTTACACGTTGGCCGGGATAATATGGGAAGGGTGCATCCTCAAGTGCGTTTGCAGAGAGAAGCATTAGATTTTCCGGATCTTCAGTACAAATCTGACACTTTGCACCATCGTCAAACAAAACAGTGACGACATCACAAACTTTGTCCACCCTTCCAAGCCACGGCCCATGGATGACATAATCTCCCACTGAAAAGGAGCAGATACTAAGAATTATTTTCCCGTCAACGTCTTTTATAGCTTCACCATAACCGTCCTCCAACTCCACAATCATATCCACGTTTACAACTCGACCAATTTGTCCAGACTGATCAGAAACGGAAGACACAAATTCACCACGCACAAAGCCTCTGTCAAGTGAAAGGAAATCATCGATCTTCCTGATGCTTGCATCAAGGCTAGACAAAATGCTCCGAGCATGACCTCCAAACACAGATTCATTGCTATATTGATCTTCATTGTCACTGTTGTCTGAGTAGCTTTCCCAATCTGAGTCACTGTAAAGCATATTCATAACTGAAACGCCTGAAATTTGAGAAATGACGCAAATTTAGCTGTGAAAATAGCAACAAGAAGAAAATCAGAAGACAAATAGTCACCTACCCTGAAGTAAAGGTTGCAGACGAGGTGGTTCGTAATTTCCTCTGGTGGAGTGATCACCTCAATGAGGAGACAAATAGTTGAGAAGAAAAGAGACTAGCCCAAATACAACGACAGGAGTGAAATCCAGAACAGATTTTCCAGATATCTAATAGAAACTAGTTAATGCCAAAGGAGATTTGCCCAAGAAAGCAAACTTTCTCCAGGGAAGATTTTCCCGATGAAGAAAGCCGAGTAATAAGCGGGAACAAATTTCATGTATTTGTACCCTTGCCAAAGGAGATTTGCCCAACCGAGTTGACTTCTCTGTCAAACGAAAATTTTCCAACAGATGTGAGAATTCTCGATAGTACGATAACTCGACGAGTATCATAGGGTGTAGGTTGATATTCCTTCTATATTTGTATTGCCAAAGGAGATTTGCCCTACAAACCGGTCTCTTTCAATTCATTTCAACCGCCCACAGACAACTACCTGTGAAACGTGAGCTGTTTGGAGGAAAGTGTCACCCATGGGAACCTATTTTATCAAATCAGCGGTAACTAAATAGGTGATCGAAGTTACTCTTTCGTGTTGAAATGTTTCCACCTGAACCTGGGAAGAAAGCGATTTGCTCGCTCATTAAGCCCTCCCTCAATTCTGAGACAACCTGAAAGTTACAACAGGACCTACAGTTGATGTTTGATCAAAACAGTTCCAGCCATTAAGAGGAAGCAAAATCGAATAAAAGCACGTACCCGTATGGCAAGCTGTAATGAAGACGAAAAAGAAATTGAATAAAACCTATGTGAAATCCTCGATCAGCTCCTTTCATTCGATATCAAATATAACTCTTACACCTTCCGAACAAAACAAAATTTAAACAAGATTCGAACATCTCGAAGGGAAAGACGAGTCCGATAACAGAAAATTTCTTCCGAAGAAAGGCAACGATATGTAAGTTTTCAAAGAGAAAAAGACAGTTTCAAAGAAAAATGAAAACAACTTCAGAAGTTTTAGCGAGAGGAGACAGTGGTGATATGGAGAAAAAAGAAGAAGAACATATTGTCTCTTGGTGCATTCACACGCGAAGAAGAAAAATCGAATTCGAGTAATTGAACGTCCATTTAATCCACCCTCCTCCAGTCAAAAAGCATGTATGATCAGATTTGGAATAACCACCATCCAGATGGAAACACGAAAAAGGGGGGAAAAAGCAAGAGAACAAAGAAGGCGGGAGAATTCCGCGGTCCCAACGAGGTGCATAAGCCTGACTGGTTCATTCTCCCGCCGCCTCCATGGGTGCAACAGCCTTATGGCCTTACGGTCTCACCTTCACTTCCCTTTCGGAGCTTAATCTCCCATATGGTTGCCGAGTTGAACAGTCGACGAAGATCACAGAACGCGAGGGGACGGCTTTCCACGTGAGAGGAAGCCCGCTCCCTCCCTAGATCTCACCGATCACGCCATTGTCGGCCATCTCGCGTCCTCCCGGCTCTCGGCTCGTAAAATAATAAATCCGCTGGCTACACCGATCGCAACAGCGCCACCTTCCCTCCACCGAGCCAACCCCTCGGTACCTCATGGCCAAGGCTCATGGCTTCTACTGCTGCTCCTCCCACCGCCGCCTCCTGGCGTACACCGCCACCCGTCTTGTTGGACGTCGCTGTAGACACTTCAAGATCGCCGCCACTTTCTCCAGTCGGTTCCTCTCAAGAAGAGCTCCCGCGGGGAGGTGGGAGGAGAATATCCGGCGAAGATCTCCCTCTTTCTGTCTTCCTCTGGCTTCACCTCCTTTTTTTGGCGGTAAACCGGTATTTGTGGGCTCCCGTCTCTGAATGGCAATAACTACCATATTACCCTTTCATATTCCAAAATATCCCTCACTAATAACCCATAAAATTATTTATTATTTATTGATATCATGAAGCGATCATTGGATGTGGCGATCATAGCGCCATGGGCTAACAATTTTGGCACCGCCGAAAGAGAGAGAAGAGGAGGACCCACCGGCGGCTGGCTCCCCTCCGGCTCGCAATTACACCTAATGGCGCATTATTAGGCTGGGTCGCACCAACTCGGCGAAAGGTCGAGGAGACATTTCATATTGGAAAGGTCGAGTCGCTGCGATCAGGCCGAGTCTCTGGCGCGGCGGGTCCTCTCGCTGGTGGAGGCGGCATTTCGTCGAGCACTTGGGGGGGCCGAACAGTGGCCGCAGCAGGATTAGGAGCTCTTATTGTTGGGGGTGGTCGGCTGAGTGGGATCCCATCACCTGCATTATTGAGTCACAGGGCGCCCATTGATCGTAAAGTCATAAAAAGCTTCGCATCATCTGGCCCAATGGAAAGCAGAAGCTTCGGAAAATCACAGCGAGAGAGAGAGAGAGAGAGACACGTAACAACCTTCAGGGCTTCCACAATGGAGGCGAGATGGGCCCCTCGCCGACCGGAAACTACTGGGGCGCCATTAACGTGGTGATTAAGACCTTCCGAGTCCACACGCTCTCCATCACGTGAGTTTCGTCTGCGCACGTGCCTACGTGACGGAGAGAAAGGGCGGGCCAAGTGGACGGCTATGCTCGAAATTACCAATGGGCCCAAGCGCACGGTTGCCTACCATGCCGCGCCGCGTGGAAGGCTAAAAGGTTCCGGGAAAGTCGAGTGTCCTCCACGTGCCGATTTACAGTAAAGCCGAGTAGAAAGGCGTGTGAACAGTATAGAGGAAGAATTTAGGCTTCAATGGAGGCCCAACAGGCTGTGGCTCTCAGCCTTGTCTCTCTGCTCGCTTCTGTTTGAGCTCTCTCACCTTTGCCCTCCCTCCAGGGTTTTACCTTGGAAAGTCCAGAGCTCGAGGATCCTTTGGGGTCGGGGTCCTTAATGTTTAATCGCCTTACTCGTATCGCCATTGTCAGCTCTGATCGGTGCAAGCTGAAGTAGTGCCACCAGGAATGGACGAAAAGCTGCTCCATTGTGAGGACGGGTGTATCCTTGGAGAATCAAGGCACATTTTAATAAGCTAGTTAGATCAAGCATATAGTGATATGCATTTTGATTCAAGCATGTGAGGTTTCAAGTGTGTGATGAGACTCTAACTGACCTTAGTCAAAATGACCTTTACTCAAATTGAGGGAGCGAGAGAAAGAAAGAGAGAGAGAAAGAGGAGAGGGCGAAAAAAAACTGGCTGATTCAAGATGTCTAACCTCTATTATCCCCACATGGGCAGATGTCAACACTTACTCTCTCTTCTCCTCTTAACGTTGCTCGTGCTTATAGAACTTTGTGGGTTGTCATTTTAGCTTTTCAACTACCTCACCTTCCATTGAGATGACATCACTTGCCACACGATGTTTAGCTTTTCCATACATCATTCAAGTCTGCTTATGACATAGATGAAAGAGGGATGAAAGAAGGATGAAGTATCCCATCAATACCCAACCCCCTTAGCACTCTTACCATGTTCTCAAGATGCAATTTCAAAAATTATCGTTGAATGGTGTAGGTGGACTTTCACATGGCTTTTGTATTTGAGAAGTCTTTTCATTTGACCAAAACGTCAAGATCATGCAATACATGTTGAACAATGAGGATGGCTAGAGGCTGCACAACCTAGTTGAGGTAACCATCTTATATCAAGGGTTTATTAGATTTAGGCAAGTTGGTGCATTTACCTTCTTGAACTGCAACATGTAGAACATTGAGTGAATATTATGGAGGGCAACAAATTAAATCCTTATGTGACCAGTCCAATATGCTCTATGAACCCTAAATGAACAAAAGTATTATGACATAAGTTTCTTATTTGGCTACTATACTAGAGACTTCAATTGATACAATCAAAGTTGAAGGAAGATAAGGTCGCCTTTTGTGAAGTAAATATTTTGGTGTTTGCAATTGACATAGGTTTTCATTCGAGTTTAAGCCTAAGTGAGGTGATGTTTGAATTGGTCAAGGATGAACTCACATTCATAGAGTTATTTTTCAAGCTCACTAGAACATGCTGAAGTTACTTTGTAATAGAGGGCTGACATGTCTCCACCACACATGATTTTAAATGATGAGATACCTAAACAAGAGTTGAAGTTTGTGTTGTATTAAATTCTGTCTAGGTTAGACATTTGATCTATTTCACAATAAAGTGATAGATAGTGCTGTCATGAAATGACTTATTAGCACATTAATAGATCAATTTGGGATGGCATATACATTGGACATTAAAACTTTAAGTTTCTAGCAAACCACAACTATATTTATTTCCACCAACAAAGCAATGAAGATATGTCTCAAGTCCATTGTTAAACAGCTTGGTCTAATCATCTCTTTGCAAGTGGTATGCACTAGTAATATGAAGGGTTGTCCCTTAGAGTCTGAACAACTCATTTTAGAAATACTCATGAATATTTGATCACAATTAGTGAAGATTGTCACAAAAATTATGTAAGTACACAATGTCATTGATAAAGATGTTGGCAATATCTTGTGCCATTAATAAATGTCAAAGTAGAAATAAATTTACATATTTACTTAGGTGATCAATAATTATCATAATTACATTACAACCATTAAACTTGAGCAAACCTTTGATGAAGTTTATGATTATATTTTCTCATTTCTGATTTATTTTATTAGTAGGTGGGGCAGGCTACTATGTACTTCTTCATGTAATTCTTCAAGCTGATCCACTTAATGTTTTGCCTTAAACATTTACAAGTTTATAGGAATCCAAATTGACCATCAGTAACTAAGTTGGAAAATTCCCACAAGAGGTTGAAGATTAACAAATAATATTTAGAGACCATTTACCACCTCCAATAAAATAGGTGGTCACTTCTTTGATTGTTGTTGTAGTCCATTCTTAATGGCTTTTAGATATGGGTCGGCCTGATCTTCTTGTGAGATCCAATCTAAGTCAATTAACTTCGGATATGATAATTTTATA